TAATTTTTGGTATTACTTTCATTACCATGGCATTGATATCTTTGTTTGGAATTATTGCTTCACTCTTCGTAAGTGATTCATCGGAGTGTTCTCCGGTTCTATACATCCGGTTAACTGACCCTCTCATTATAATTTATTGTCCTAAAAGAAAGCTGCGGGAGCAGTTCGCATCCTCTCCAAAATGTTACTCGTCTTCATCATAGTTTACGTTGTCATGACCATCATTCTCATTGTCAACCAAGTTCAAAGTAAAGAAGCAGCAATTACCAGATGTAATAATTTAAATTCCACAGCATCTTGTCAAGATGTGGAAACATGGAAGATTATACGTAATGCTGTCTTAGCAGGAATACTCATAGTATTTGAGGTTCGTTATTCAAAAAGAAATGGAAATCTTGTTGGCGGTTGTTCTTTGTCAATTGGCTTAAAAAAAAAAAACCAAAACCAAAAACGTTATCTCCAGGTATTTTTCGCTGGGATCGCTTCGCGTTATGCAACAGATCTTGAGAACACGTTCCGTCTTAAACGCAGGCGCGTTGCTCCTACTTCAAGTTTGTCCGTCGCAGGTCTCACGTCCAAGGAGTATTATGATCCACACGCACATCATCGCCCTGCTTAAAATTTTTCGTTCATTTGTGATCATATATATTTTCAAAATAATTTTTTATTTCCTCATTTCCAATTAATTTTCATATATAACCCCTGTGAATTTTTATTTGTTAACGGTTACACATCCCGTTAATACACACACATAATTGTAATAACAAACATTGGGAACAAATTTCAACAATGTAAAAATAGCGAAAACTTTTGTACATAGGAAAATAAACTTTACTTATTTAAACCTCGTAATATATGCATGTATATATATATATATCCATATTTCTTTACAGGTTCCGACTTGTTACTGAAAAGATTCACACAATCTACACATTTGACCTATCCTCATTCTTTCGATCAAAAAATATCACATGTATATTATTAATTAATTATATTTTAATTGAAAGTAAAGCGATTGGATCACGTGTCATGTCGGGATCACGCATCTATCAATCAACTGATGATAATTGATGGTTCCTTCTGAAATATCGAATCATTTTAAAATCATGCCCCCACAAGTCCCAAAAACCGAATACCCTGTAATCGATACTGACCCTCACTTTAAACGTGTAGTTAGATACTTTCGACCTTCAGATTACTTATCATGGGCCGCCATCACCGGGTTCGGACCCGCATTCTACCTATTCCTAGGTAATTAAACGTTTGACTAGGAGATTGGGTGGCCAACGATGAATTCAATTTTCGACAATAAGTAACAACCTTAACTTTCTTTCCACCATGTAAAGAGAAGACAGCAAACCAACCTCCTACAAAACGTCTGGGTCTAGTCTTGAAGATTTGCGCGGGACTTAGTTTCACCGGTGGATTCATGTTCGCCTATCAACGTAGCAGTTGTGAGTATATTCCCCCTATTTTTAAGGTGAAAGTTCGAAAATCAAACGTTCTCGATAATTCATTCGTTTATACCACCGTAGTCAGATTCTGGGGGTGGACCGAGAATGCCCGTGAATATGAAAAAGATTTAAAGGAGATGAGGCAAAGGGTGAAAGAAGGAAAACCGTTGTACGGCGAATCAAGTTTGGACGATCACATTCAACACTATGCGTCGACCTTTTCCAAATACGCGGCCTTGAATTTTGGTAAATGATTTTATCCCAATTTTTTCTTACACTCAATTATCTCGTGTATTATGTTAATCATTCGTTCGTTCATCGTTACAGCAAGCTTCCCGGTATTCAACTTTGTCAATCACAACAGACATGGAACTGATACCAGTCGATATTATGAGGGCACTGCAGAAAAAGATGCGGTGGAAACGACAAGTTAAACTTTTCATTATCGTAGCAGGTGAAATAATTATTATTCTGACTACGAGAAGTGAACCTAGAAATAATTGTCGAGATGCACCATGCGAACTTTACAATTTGGTTAAATGCGATGGTGCCGTATCAAATATTTAGCACGTGAAAGTAAATATCAACCGCTAAAAAAACCATATTTTATTCAGTTGGTGTTCAGTAAAGCAGTTTTTTTTTAAAAAAGAGGTATTTTGTAAGTTTGAAGAATAAAGTGATCAATCACATCACATGAATTTTCATGAATAATACCGAAGATGGATTTTTTTTTTTTTTTTTTTTTTGCTTCTCAACTAAATGACTCACCACGACAACGATGTCCTATTGTAAACATTGATAAGACACTGGTGACCATAAAATCAAACCAAGTCTGGAATCCACCAACATTCCACATCTGGTAATTCTCCACCATCCTTGAATTTCTCCAACACTTCGCCAACAAATGTCCGCCTACCCTGGATTGTGTACAACATCAATTTTTTAAATTCAGCATTGTTTTTTACCAACTTTCTTAGATTTTCCATAGGTATGGGCGTCAGTTCGAATACTATGTGCAATGAGATTTCTTGCAAGGTGGTGAAATGGGAGGAAAGTAAAGAGATCAGAGGTTCCGGTGACACATTATAAAGTTTCATTGTTAACCTGCGAATCGGTGCAAGAATCTCATTAGATTGATGGTGGTGATGTGTGACAGCGTTAATGCTGTGGTCTTCGAAGTCGTCAATGTAAAGATGCAATTCTTTTAAAGTCAAGAATGGTTCATCAAGTAAAGACTCTTTGTGATATTCCAATGAGACTTCAACGAGATTTTTACAATTTGCAAATAAATAACCCATAAGCGATTTGTCGATTCT